TAGGGTGCATCTCCGAGACATCTGGAGCGTTCTTGGAGCCCTCTCGGCAGTCCTGGAGGCATCCTGGAGGCCATGCCGGCTCCACCCGGACCGTCCCCGGGGCGAGCGGAGCCACGAGAAAGGGATTTTGGGGAGCCTTCCGGGTGGCTGGCGCAAGGAGCCGAAGCTTGATGGGGGAGTCGTCCAAAAAAATAGCCTGGCGAAGGACCCAACCATATGCAGTTGTGAGTACCGTCTTTGTCAGCAACGCATTCGGTGGGGCTCCCTATGGGGCCACGAAATGCTGTCTTGGGTGGGGGAGACGCATGCGAACACCCCCACTGGGGCCTTTGGTGGAGCTCCCTATGGGGCCACGAAACGCTGTCCTGCGTGGGGGAGACGCATGCGAACACCCCGATTGAGGCCTTCGGTGGAGCTCCCTATGGGGCCACGAAGCGCTGTCCTGCGCGGGGGAGACACATGCAAACACCCCCTATGGGGCTACGAAGCGCTCTCCTGGGTGGGAGAGACGCATGCGAACACCCCCACTGGGGCCTTCGGTGGAGCTCCCTATGGAGCCACGAAGCGCTGTCCTGCGTGGGAGAGACGCATGCGAACACCCCGATTGAGGCCTTCGGTGGAGCTCCCTATTGGGCCACGAAGCGCTGTCTTGGGTGGGGGAGACGCATGCGAACACCCCCACTGGGGCCTTCGGTGGAGCTCCCTATGGGGCCACGAAACGCTGTCCTGGGTGGGGGAGACGCATGCGAACTCCCCCACTGGGGCCTTTGGTGGAGCTCCCTATGGGGCCTCGAAAACCTGTCCTGCGTGGGGGTGACGCATGCGAACACCCCCATTGGGGCCTTCGGTGGAGCTCCCTATGGGGCCACGAAGCGTGTGAGAGGTGTGCCGAGAGCAGAGGCAAGGAGGGGGAGGAGGGAGGAGGGAGGAGTGGGAGGAGGAAAGAAGGAAAGAGGAGAGACGCGGGGCACCGTCTCTTCAAAACGAGGACCCAACACCACAGGATGGTTGGGAACAAAAACCATCAGAACCTTAGAACGCGAGGCACCCCTTTTAATAAATCAACAGGGGGACGAGCGTCTTGGAGCCCTCCTCGGGGCCTCCTGGACAGTCCTGGGGCGCTGTGGTGAGCGTCGTGGGCCGCCTTGGAGCGTTAAAAGCTGAGAAAGGCGAGAAGGCTACACTCACTCAAAAACCATGGGAAATCAATGAATTTGGCCTGTTGGGGGTGCTCTTGAAGCCCCCTTGGAGTTTCTTGAGGGCCTCTATGGTTGTCTTCAAGCGCGGCTCTATTGGGCCGTCTTCGCGGCCTCGTAGGTCCCTTTGAGCCCATCTTGGGACCCTCCTGGCTTGCAGAAGACGCACGCGACGAACCCCAAGAGCCCCTGGGAGCTCGCGGAGATTGCCGGGAGCGCCCGGAAAGGCAGGTGTCCAGGCCCGTTTGCGAGTTTAGAATCTTGGTTCCCCGAATCCTGGCAGCAGCAGCGCAGCCGTGAGCCTTGGGGCACTCCACTTCGTGCCGAGGGTACGGTGGCGGATATGTATACACATATGAAAGACGTAGATCTATGTATACATACATATGTGTATGTGTACGAAGATATGTGTACACAATATGAATGTGTGTGCATATGCATATATACAATAGTAGTAGTACTAATAGCAATAGCGATCTCAATGGTAGTAATAATAATCACATAATAACAACAGTATTAACGATATCAGTAACAATGATAACAACAACACTAATAATACAAGTACTAAAACTAGCAATGATAATGCGCCTACTAATATTAATAATAGTACCACTCGTTATAATGAAACCCAACTACTACTAAGTGTAATGATAATATGAACCATACATGGTTCTCTCTGTATATATATATAGGTATAGTATGTTATCGCTCCCTCTCTCTCTCTCTCTGTCTCTGTCGCCATCGCCCTCTGTCTCCCTATTGTGATACAAATAAAGGTATGTGTGAATTTATCCATTTTCCCTCTCCTCGTTCATCCTCCCCTCTCACCATCCATCATCTTCCTTCTCCGCCCCATCCTACACGAGGGACGAGGGTGTTGAGAAGGGGGCTGGTGCGACGACGGTCAGCAGCTGTACAGACTCAGATGGCGTCTTGGGAGGAATTTGGGATACCACTTGCAGGTCACAGTCGGCGGTGCTTTAGGTTCGTCAGTCGCCCCCGTAAAGCAATATCCTTCTTTTCCTTGTCGTCGACGTCAGCTTTCTCGCCTCGTGCTCACATCAAGGCCCCGTGTTGTACATCATGGCTTCGGGCAATCAGCCCACCCGCACTTGCACCAAATTAGTTTGCGAGGCAGTTGGACCACCAGCGCAAATAAAGCAAGCATTGCAGGAGGAGCAGGAGAACGAGAGAGGGGAACGCGGAGGAGGAGGACCACTTTAAACCCAAGCCTCATCAACGATATTGTAGTACGCCCGCCTTCAAGTTCTCTATTTACAAGCCAGCCCCTCACAAGGATTCAGTTTCACTGCAGGAAGTGCCCCGTTTGAAGACAACCGTTTGAAAACCCTGCCCTGTGCCAGAACACCATTCCTGGGACTTCAACGCCGCGAATCTTCGTTACTGTTGCGCCTTGACGATCCTGAATCGTGCCAGAACACCGTTCTTGGGCCTCTACCAAGAATCAACGTAACTTCTGCGCCCTGATATTTCAACATCGTGCCCAAACACCAGTCTGGGGGCATTAACCATGAGAGTACGTGAAACCGCTGTGAAGTTAAAGAATGAAAGTGCGCGGCGCTGAGGCGAGAGCCACATGTTGAAAAGGAGTCGCCCTCTATACGTGAAATTCATGAAATTGCTCAAGACTGGTGCGCGCGGCGCTTAGGCGAGAGTCACATGTTGCAAAGGAGCCGCACTCCATCCGTGAAGCTCTTGCAACTGCTTCAAACGAATGCGCGCCGCGGCGCTAAGACGACAACCACATTTTCAAAACTGACGGCCCTCCGTTCGCCAAACTCATGCACTTGTTTAAGACGGACGTGCGCGGCGCTAAGGCGAGAGCCACAGTTCGAAAACCACTCGCCCTCCGTCTGTGAAGCTTTCGCAAATGCGCAAGACGAGTGTGCGCGGCGCCGAGGCGAGAGCCACATTTCAAAAACCGCCCGCCCTCCATCCGTGAAACTGTTGCAAATTTCAGGGTTCAAGACCATAAATGGTGAGGAAGTCTCAGGCGAAACGCCCGGCCCGTCTTTTCGACCGGCCTCGGGGTGCGACAGGGATTAGTTCTTTGTATACGGAAGAGGAATGGAGGAGCGAGATTGTGCTGGGGAGGCAGCAATGAAGGAGATGAAGGAGGATGAGGAGAGGAGGAGGAGGAGTGAGTTGATGCTGGGAGGGGGGACGGAGGAGAAAGAAAACGACATGATAAGGAGGAGGAGGAAGAGGAGAGGGAAGAGGAGGAGGAAGAGGAGCGAGGAACGAGGAGCGAGGAACGAGGAGCGAGGAACGAGGAGCGAGGAGCGAGATGATGCCAGGGAGAAGGTCGACATGGGAAGGGAAGGGGGGAGGGGGAGGAGTGGAGGGGGGAGGAGGAGGAGCAGGGAGGAGGGGGCCAGAAGGGAAGAGCAGCAGCAGCAGCAGCAGCATGACGAGGTGGCGGAAGAGGGAGAGAGGCTCGCACCGGGGAGGACGAGGAGGATGCGGAGGGGGGAGGATCGGGGGCGGCAAAGAGGGGGGTGATGACTAGGGGGGGGGGATCTCATGGCGGGGGCCATGATATTTCCCCAGATGTTATGACGCCTCTTCTGATTTCATTATGTCCCTGGCCCCCCCGCTGGGCCGCGCACATGCCGCCGGTCATGATTTGCACCCCGCCCTCTTGGGCACCCCCTCTTGGCCGCTCTCGAGGGGAGGGAGGAGGGACGAAGGAAGAGCAGGACCAGCAGGCGCATGGCAGTGCTCCTGTGTCTTTCCCATGCCGCGGACGCACCTCCCTCTCGCCAAGAGATCCTCAACGCCGCGATCTGTTTGCGGAGATGCTCCGCCTGTTTTGTCGGCTGCGCCGCGCGGTCCACCGCCCCTCCTCCTCCTCGCCATGCTCCGCCCGCTCCGCCTCGGCTCTCCCCCCCACTCCCTCGAGGTGAAGTGGGGCCCGTATGACGAGACGCTCGTTGCCATCTTCGAGGAGGCCAGTCCTTGCGCCACCGCGCTGCACCGGCCCGCCGGGGCGGCGCAGGAGGTCGGGGGAGATGTGTTTCAAGGTGACATCGCCCAACAACGCCTTGAGCAAGTTGGACGATGCACCATCGTTCATTGGGCGCTGTTGGTGGACGATGGGCATTGCCCTGGCGGCTGGGGTTCCGTACGGGCGCGCACGGCGTGGCGGGGTAGCCCACGAGCGCTTCCCAGCCGAGCTCTTCGCATTTGAAGGCCCAGGTGGCAGTGTTCCAGAGCCCCAGATATTAGCAACCCCCTGCATGGCCAATCGCAGCAGAACAGCAGAAGGCACCCCCGTAGGCAACCATCTGACTCAAACCCATGCAGACCGGTCGAAGGCACATCAGCGGATGGCCGTTATGGTCCAGAGGGACCCACTGAAATCACAGCATCGTGCTCCAGCATAGACAGGGATGCGGCCCTCCAGGCCTCGCAAATAGGGTCCGGGTAGATGGGGTCGGAGGATCGCGACGCATCGCCGATGCATCGGCGATGTGGCCTCCAGCACCAATCGCCTTACATCGACGACCGACGTTGGACGCACACTTACCCCTGCTGCTGCCCCCGACTCCGGGGCGGCAGCGGGAGCAGGGCATGGATCAAGCAGCATAGTTCCACAGGCCAGGTTCTGATCCACGCAGCCGCTCGGCCCCTCGTCGGGCCTGGGCGTGATCAGGGGAATGGGTAAAGCGTCGATCGCCTCTCACAGTCAAGACGCTGAAGTAATGATGATCAGCTTGGGTTCTGGAGGCGCTCTGGTTCTCGGGTCGCTCCTTCGTGTTCGCCCGTGGAGCCGTTGTGGCCCAGTCCTCCCTTCCTCCTTCCGGTGCGACGATGAGTGTGTGGCCACGCCAAACGGCCCGGCAAGCTTGGCCGACCTGCCCACCCCTGCCGCCTGCCCTTCGCCACCGACCGAGCAGAAGAGCTAGTGCTACTCATACGATGATGGCGATGATGCTGATGATGTTGATGCTAATGTTGATGATGACGACGACGACAACGACGACGACGATGATGATGTTGATGATGATGCTGCTGACGATGATGATTTGGACGACGTCGACGACGATGATGAAGAGGGAGAAGGTCATGAGGATGACGATGAGCATGGTGATGGTGATGGTGATGATGACGAGGACGATGAGGGTGATGATGATTATGATGTTGATGCTAACGACGACGACGACGATGATGATGACGATGATCATGAAGAAGATGATGATGATGATGATGATGATGATGATGATGATGCTGATGATGATGATGATGACTAAGATGATCATTATGATGATGATCGTCATCATCATTATCATGATGATACTGCTGATGTTGTTGCTGATGATGATTATGATGACGATGATGATGAGCATGCGGATGAGGATGAGGATGGTAATGATGAGGATGCTGACGAGGAGGATAATGATGATGATGATGAGGAAGAAGAAGAACAAAAAGAAGAGGAATAATCTAATACTAATGATGAGGAGGAGGAGGAGAAGATCTGGGCGTTGCAATGCTTCACACTGAGCGTTTTTGCACAGCTTCGGACCCCGTGTCCATCCCGGATCGGTCCGCCTCGAGAGATGCCGCGGAACGATGGGGTATCTCCAGGGCTCCGGTCGTGATGTGTTTCACGATGCTTCTTGCCTCCGCGATGTGGGATCGCAGTGCCTTCGCAAACGCTAGAGGGATGGCCTCGCCCTCCCTGGGCACGCCGGGACGGCCGGAGGAGGCCAAGTCGCTATGCTTCATTGCTTCCGCGATGTGGGATCGCACTGTTTTCGCAAGCGCCAGAGGAATGATTCGGAGGCTCGGAGGTGGACAGACCTCCTACCCTGGCACGTCGATTAGTGAATTGGCCGTTTTCGGTTCGCGAGAGGGCGTTGCGGCCGTCATTTATGCGGGTCTAGGTCCGTCGATCTCGGTTCTAGGCTGTTCTCCCTAAAGGGGGTTTACTAAAGGGAGGTTTGTCCACCGCCGAACGACCTCGCCCTCCCCGGGCACGGCGGGACGGCTGGAGGATCGGGCGAGGGGGTTCGCAGTGGAAGGATTCTCCCGAGGTGGGGCTGGGCAGCGGGCCCAGCTTCAAGTCGGGCACGTCCCTCTACAAGAGGAGTATTCAAAAATAGTCAAAAATAGTCGTGGGACGATGCTTCGACTATTTCTGACTGTGTCTGCGCATGCTTTGACTCTTTTGGATTTTGTCCTTCAGCATCCCACTGCAGGAGGACATGCCCGACCTAAAAGCCTTGCTGGATGCTCCCGTTCCACGCGTTTTTTTTGTTGCTGGGCCGTTCGGAGCGATTTTTTTTTCCTTCCAACCGCACCTTTGCCTCAGCCCCCCCCCGCCTCTGCGCCCCCCGAGTGGGGCGGCCAGGCCGCTACGGACACAGCACGCGGGAGCGGGCTCCGGGGAGGGACGCGGCCGGGGACGGCAGGGGCCCCCCTGGCGTGGCACCGCCGTGCCCATGCGGATCGGGACGACCGACATGGGTACGGAAAAATATGTGCAATGCCCAACAGCAGTTCCTGCTCATTTTGAAGAGGACTCGCTGTCGGTGTCGCCGCGGCCAGTGTACACTTGAGGCAGAAGGCCGCCTGCCCAACAGCGGCAGCTGTTGGTTCGGCATTGTGCCCATTGTTTCCGTGCCCATTTCGGGCGTCCGAAGCGGACCCCCCAGCGTCCAACCCTTGGACGGAAGGGCTCCCTCACTTCTCAGTTCGAGAGTGTTTGTTTAACCCCTGGGCCATAACGCGCGTTATGCCCCCTCACCCCCCGCTTCCCCCTCGCCCCACCCCCTGACGCAACGCTCCCCCTCTCAGTCAAGCAGTGGCGAAGCGTCCTGGCTTGCTTATAGGCCCACCGAAGAATATTTGAATCACCTTTTGTGCTCTGCACGAAATGTTTTAGAACATGTCTGGGCGAGACTGGTCTGTTTTAACACATCGGTTTTTTGATGTAAGAACACTGTTTTCATTATTCGAATGCGTCTGCGTTCCAAGAAAATGTCGTGGCAGGCCTATACGAATGCCCGGACGGTCGGTCCCTGCTCAACTCAGCGCGTCCCGGGCACTGCTGCCGCAGTGCGTCCGACACCACAGTCGGGCGGGGGGCGCTACGATATGCCCTCTGCCTTCCCCCCCCCTCCCCCCCTTCAATAACGTCGGTCATGGCCGCGAAGTAAAAATGCGTTCCTCCCCAGAGGAGGACGGCCAGGGGCTCGGTCAGCCGGCCCCGCATCGCAGCCGAAGCCACTCGCCCTGGCCAGCCCATCGGTCAGCCCAGTGAGCCAGCCAGCAAGACTCGGATCGGGCGAAAGGGGGGGATAGCAAAGGGGGGGGGGTGAGAATCAGCTCACGTAGCTGATTTTCCCGGCGCCTCCCGGCGCCGGAGGCGTCCATGTATCGAGGAATGTGCCCCTCGGTGAAGCCGAAATCAGCTGCATGCAGAAAATTTCGTAACGCCCCCTTTCCCAATCCCCCCCTTTTCGTCCGGCCCGAAAGACCATGCCGCCAACCCCAGCCGCCCGCACCCCACGGGCGCAGCCTCGTCCCGATCCGACCAGGCCCGATCCGTGGTCGTGCGCGGAAGACCACAACCGAACGCCCGACCGGTCGCCACGGCCCAGATGCGGAGGATGATGAGGAGGAGGAGGAGGGAATGAGGAGGAGGAGGAGAAGGAGGAGGAGGAGGAGGAGGGGGAGGAGGAGGAGGAGGAGGAGGGGAAAGAAGGAGAGGGAAGGGAAGGGAAGAGTGGAGGAGGGACATCAGATGAGATCTGCGACGTCCTGTTTGCCGCTTGCTCACCTGCTTGCCGCGTCGCTTTCGTACGCACTTCGATGCTTTGCTGCGTTGTTGCTTGTTCGTGCTGTGTTTTTTTCCCAACCATCCTGTGGTGTTGGGTCCTCGTTTTGAAGAGACGGTGCCCCGCGTCTCCTCCTCCTCTCCTCCTCCGCCTCCTCTCCCCTCCTCCTCCTCACACCCCTCACACGTTTCGTGGCCCCATAGGGAGCTCCACCGAAGGCCCCAGTGCTGCCGTCCGCATGCGTCCCGCACACCCATTTCGGCACACCCCTCACACGTTTCGTGGCCCCCAGGGAGCTCCACCGAAGGCCCCATGGCTGCCGTCCGCATGCGTCCCGCACACCCATTTCGGCACACCCCTCACACGTTTCGTGGCCCCACAGGGAGCTCCACCGAAGGCCCCAGTGCTGCCGTCCGCATGCGTCCCGCACACCCATTTCGGCACACCCCTCACACGTTTCGTGGCCCCATAGGGAGCTCCACCGAAGGCCCCATGGCTGCCGTCCGCATGCGTCCCGCACACCCATTTCGGCACACCCCTCACACGTTTCGTGGCCCCACAGGGAGCTCCACCGAAGGCCCCAGTGCTGCCGTCCGCATGCGTCCCGCACACCCATTTCGGCACACCCCTCACACGTTTCGTGGCCCCATAGGGAGCTCCACCGAAGGCCCCATGGCTGCCGTCCGCATGCGTCCCGCACACCCATTTCGGCACACCCCTCACACGTTTCGTGGCCCCACAGGGAGCTCCACCGAAGGCCCCAGTGCTGCCGTCCGCATGCGTCCCGCACACCCATTTCGGCACACCCCTCACACGTTTCGTCCCACCGAAGGCCCCATGGCTGCCGTCCGCATGCGCACCCATTTCGGCACACCCCTCACACGTTTCGTGGCCCCGCTCCACCGAAGGCCCCAGTGCTGCCGTCCGCATGCGTCCCGCACACCCATTTCGGCACACCCCTCACACGTTTCGTGGCCCCATAGGGAGCTCCACCGAAGGCCCCAGTGCTGCCGTCCGCATGCGTCCCGCACACCCATTTCGGCACACCCCTCACACGTTTCGTGGCCCCATAGGGAGCTCCACCGAAGGCCCCATGGCTGCCGTCCGCATGCGTCCCGCACACCCATTTCGGCACACCCCTCACACGTTTCGTGGCCCCACAGGGAGCTCCACCGAAGGCCCCAGTGCTGCCGTCCGCATGCGTCCCGCACACCCATTTCGGCACACCCCTCACACGTTTCGTGGCCCCATAGGGAGCTCCACCGAAGGCCCCAAGGAAGGCATGCTGCCACATGTCCCGGGCACATCACACGTCCCGCACACCCATGGTGGCGGCCCCACAGGGAGCTCCACCGAAGGCCCCAGTGCTGCCGTCCGCATGCGTCCCGCACACCCATTTCGGCACACCCCTCACACGTTTCGTGGCCCCATAGGGAGCTCCACCGAAGGCCCCATGGCTGCCGTCCGCATGCGTCCCGCACACCCATTTCGGCACACCCCTCACACGTTTCGTGGCCCCACAGGGAGCTCCACCGAAGGCCCCAGTGCTGCCGTCCGCATGCGTCCCGCACACCAGGTGTGTGGCGTGCCGACATGGGCGTCGCGGCGCGCGGGCGCTGCCGTCGGGGTTCCCAGGGAAGCCCCCTGCAGAGGCGACGCTCAGAGTCACGAGTACCGAGAGTCACGCAGACCCAAACTGTTCACAGTCGTATACATACATTTACACTGGGCGTATCCATGCACGCATTCATGCGAATAGAATCAATCGCGCGCAGATTCATTCATAATCAGACTCGCTCGCGATCCGACTCGCACGCGCTCAAGCTTTCATATTCGGACCTATCGTCTTCGTTCGTTTTGTGTACACTGCCACGCATTTCGGCACACCCCTCATACGGCTCGTGGCCCCATAGGGAGCGCCACCGAAGAAGATATTCACAATTGCGGTACTCTCAACTGCATATGGTTGGGTCCTTCGCCAGGCTAATTCTGACATTCATATTCCGAAACGTGACCCGATCATTTTACGATTCACCCTCGCGAACTTCAGCCAGTGAGGGTACGTACAGTTTCTTACGGGATGCGCTCATATCCTTGTGTTCGATTGCATTCTCATGCCCCTGCAGTGACAGCCCGTTCTGGCAGGAGCAGCGGCAGGGGGCAGCAAATAGAGTCAAGGGAAACGGAAACGGTCCAAGCCGCCTTCCAGCCGCCCCGCTCCTCCCGATTGCCGCCGTTGGGTGCTTCGTTGCACTCCGCCGCCCGCCCTGCCTCCCGCCTTGGCTCCTGCCCTGCCCCCACTCGTCCCACATCCAGCAGGAGGAGAAGGGACGAGAAGTGAGAGGGGGGGGGCGCGGAGAAGAGCGAGAGTGATGCGCAGGAGAGCGATACGAGGAAGAGGAGGAACAGGGGACGAGGAGGAGGGCGGTGCTACGTCTGGTAAGCCCCGTCTTTCTGACGCCGTCCCCTGCTCCATCCCTCTCCCTCGGGGCCCTGACTTCCTCACTATTATCCCTGCTGCCCGCTTGGCCGTTTGACTCGAAATTCTGCAGGGCACTGTCATCATCTACGACGCGGTGACGGGGAAGCAGAGACACCTGATAAACGCGCACCAGGCACTGCCATGCAGCGTGGGACATGTTGTGTGTATGGAAGGCCGGGCGGAGAAGGGGGGCAGGAGGAGCGGGCGCAGCAGGAGGGCGACGACCGCGACGGCGACGAGAGGAGGAGCCACCCCAGGACAACACATACCACACATACCACCCTTCCAGTAGGTCAGCTCTTACGCAGCGAAGCCTCATGGCGCACGTCGCAACCGCCACAACCACCACCGCTCGGACCCGCGCGCTGGGTCCTCACTTCGCCCCCCGACGCCGCAGCGCGACTTGGACGGCCTCAGATGCGGCGCCTCCTCGGTGCACTAACGCAGAGGCTTCCGGCGCGCGCGCGCACGGCGCAACATCGTCGTTCTCAAAGGTCACCAGCAGCCAGAGCCGGAGTCGACGGCAGCGCCGTTGCCGCGCGCACGGTGTGGGCAACAGGCAGAGAGCAGGGCGGCACCCGCCGCACAGCACTTTCTGAGAGAGTGTCAATCTGCGCTCTGACGGTCTTCTGCACAATCGAGCATGCAGCTACTCCAGATTTCGTAATAAAGGGAGGGGGGTCTCGTTTCGGGGGGGGTCTCTTCCAGGCTATCTTGGAGGGCCGGGGGGGTCTGGGGACGATGTTTTGGAGGGTTCTCCCACGGGGGAGGTCTGAAATGGCTTGTCTTGGAGGGTCCAGACCCCCTCCCTTTTATTACGAAATCTGGAGTACGCAGCTATCGCCAACACCACAACACATGGCGCAAGACCGCGCCCGTTGTACGTGGCATGCTTTGCATACCCGACGTCTAGTGCGTCGCGTATGCGCAGGCTGCGCACGCACGGCCGGTCGAATTCCCATGATTTCTCCTTCCACTGTCACTCGTCCCCGCGGGTGTCGTGGCTCAAATGATCAGAATCAGATTGTCCACGCCATCGCATGTTACTCCTGATTTTGTAATAAAAAGAGGGGGGTCTCATTTCGGGGGGGGTCTCTTCCAGGCTATCTTGGAGGGCCTGGGGGGGTCTGGGGACGATGTTTTGGAGGGTTCTCCCACGGGGGGGGTCTAAAACTTCTCGTCTGGGAGGGTTGTGACCCCCTCCCTTTTATTTCGAAATCTGGAGTAATCAGAATCAGATTGTCCACGCCATCGCATGTTAGCCTGCGTCATAGCCATGACCGCAGCCACTGCCCAGACGCAGCCAAGCACGCGCTCGCAACGCTTCCTCCACCTCCTTCAAGCTGGCCTGGACTGCCGATTTCTGGATCAAGGCCGAACGGCCCATGCCAACACGACGTCGAACAATCAGCGCCACACAATGACGCACGTCCTACGTTAAATCCAAGTGCCTGCGGCAAATCTCACCACCGTGCCAGCGAAGCACTGTATAGCGACGCTTCGAGCATCGCCCAGAAGGCGTAAGATCGGACACCTTTCGTCTCCACTTCTTGATCAGACCTCATGGGAACCATTCGGGCCGTCGTGTGGCTGTCTTGGGCTCACATTGAGCAGTCTTGGGGGTCCCTGGGGGGCCCTTCGGCCGTGTTGGGGCCCTACTGAGCCGTCTTGGGCTCTCGTGGCCGTCGGGATCTTTGGGCCGTCTTGGGGCCCTCCCCTCTTAGGCCGTTTTAGGTCCCTCTGAAGACCAGCTTGGGGCTTTCTTTGGGCCGACCTGGGCCTACTGGGGGCCCCCCCTCCCGGGGTCCCTCAGCGGCCCAGCTGGGCCCTCGAAGACCGCAAGTGCACAGGACTTCGACTGGAAATCAGCAGAAATCGGTCAACCGTGAAAATCATATATTGGAAACGAATGTTCGGGGCCTCTCAAGGCCCTCCTGGAGAGCGGCTTGGGGATGTCATGGAGCCTCTAAGCAGCAGCCGGGGACCTCTTGGGCGCTTCTTCGGGGCTGCCGTGTACCTCAGAAGGCAGTGTGGAGTTCTCTTGCGCCGTCTCGGAAGCCCTGGAGAGCTCGGGAGATCCCGAGAGGAGGCGTCGGCCCGCCCAGGGAGTCTCAGGAGGGAGGGCCGGCGCGCGCAGCGAAGCGCGTCGAGAGGGGTGTGGGGCCCCTGAGGAGACTCGCGGAAGCCCTACCAGACACCTTTTGGCAGTCTACCACCTCTCAGCGTGCCAGTAAGGCACGGTGGCACGGTGGCCGATGGCTCGGCATCGGAGTGCTAGCACCTCTATGCCAAAACCACTCACCAGTCGGCGAATCACCAGACGCCCACCTCAGACCCAGCGACTCACGATTGATTTGCGAGTCCAAGGGCCAGCCCAGGCCGACGTATCAGCTTCTTCCACGAGAGGAACCAAGTGAGGGCGCGCTAACTCTGACACGTCTGCCACGACCAGCCCGCCCACATGTCAGCTACACGTGAACGCCGACACCCTCATGTAGCCATTTTCTCCCGGGCACCGGAGTGTCTCGACCCTTCTTGTCTGGAGCGACTTTCCCGCCTGCAGCGTGGAGGTCCGAGGGACGCCGTGGGTGAGCCTCCCGAGGCCCACGAGCCTGGAAATGGGCCAGGCGGACACCACACCCGGCCCAGCCACGGCGAGCCACCGACAGATGTTGGGCGTTGCGTAATGGAGGGGTCATAAATAGGGGGGTGGCGAGGGTGGTCCGAAAAGGTACCCAAACGGTACCTAAACGAGCCCCCTGGGACTCCAGAGGGGCCCGAAAGGGGCACGAAAAGGGACCGTTTCTGACCCCCCCATTTATGACCCCCCCATTAAGCCACGCCCAAAGATGGGGCGTTCCAAAGAGGGCCGGGCCGTCGACGAGCGAGGGGCTCGTCAGCTCCTCCTCGGCGGAGGGCGGCGGAAGGAAGACGGCGGCGGCTCCGCCCGGCGGAGGCTCGGCGGAGGCCGGCGGAGCTAAGAGTCCTGGGCTCTCCTGGTCCTTCCTCTCGGTCTCGTTTCTTCGGATGCAACTCCTGGGAGGTCAAATTCTGATCTTGCCCTGGTCCGAAATCCGGCTTAATCCCGCTTAATCCCGCTTAATTTGGCTTAATCCCGCTTAATCCGGTTTAATCCCGCTTACTCCGAGGCCCACTCCGGCGTAATAGCCCCCAAATGGGGCTTGATCCTCCTTAATCTTTCCGACGAAAACCTCCCAGCAGTTGCCTCCTAACGTTTCGTCTCGTGCATTTCAGGGGCTCCGATCTCGAACAGTTCGATCGCGCCGATGCCCGATCTGATTCGGCAGGGTAGGTAGTGTTACTAGCCCGACGCTAGGCCTCCAGAGCTGTGGACGAGAGGGGGCAGTGTGGCTTGCGTGTGGAGCTAAAAGTCGACCTCCCAAGAGAGGAACGTTTTTGGATTAGCCAGTGTTTGTTGAAGACGCCTTTGTGCAGCGAGCGAGGAAAAACAAGTCAGAGCGAGGGTGCCGAGCGGTCGTTCACTGTCCCTGGGTGTGTGGCTGGAGTGGGATTCCGCGATGCGGATTCTCGTCGTCGTCGTTGTTGTTGTTGTTGTTGTTGTTGTTGTTGTTGTTGTTGTTGTTGTTGTTGTTGTTGTTGTTGTTGTTGTTGTTGTTGTTGTTGTTGTTGTTGTTGTTGTTGTTGTTGTTGTTGTTGTTTTTTGCTTCGGGCTTGTTGAATCTGATTTAGACTGGGTGGCAGAGTTTGGGCGAATCTCCACTGAGAGAGGCCGCAAAGCTGACAGTGGCGGTGATTCTTGGGAGGATGAAGCCTCCGAGCCTGATTGAGGCCTGTGTTCTTGGACTGTCCTTGAGACCACACGCAACTGTTGTTGTTGTTGTTGTTGTTGTTGTTGTTGTTGTTGTTGTTGTACTCTCATGTTTGAATAATTACTGTTGATCCCCCCGTCCAGTGCACATTGTTTTTTCCTCTTGAAGTGCCCTTCCCGGGGCTCGCACCCAGTTTTTTATCAGGGACAATCTTGAGGGTCAAACTGTGTCGTTGGCCCCATGGTTACAAGAACAACGGCCCCCGCTTGATACTGCCGCTCGTTGGCCCCATGGTTACAAGAACAACGGCCCCCGCTTGATACTGCCGCACAATGTATTGAAGAATCGCGCTGTCGCTTGGGACTTCTTGCAATTTACCGCTGGAGCGCGGATCCCGCTTGATACTTCCTCGCAATTGTTTGAACAATCGCGCTCTCACTTGTGGTTTCCGCGCTCCTTTCGACACGGTTGCAGTTCTCACTATCCTTCCGCCCCGCTCTCCCAACATCCCGCTTCTTCTTCAGGATTGTTAACCTGTGCTGGAGTGGCTGGCGCAAGCCATGGCGCAAGTTGAATCGCCATTCACAGCGCAAATCATCGTCCTCCCTCCTTCAGGCTCTCTCCCCTCCCTTCCTCCGATCCCTTCGTCCTCATTCCCTCCCGCTATCTGTTACCCTGCGTTTTCAAGGGCTTCACGAGCCACGCGTGGCGGGGAACGAATATACCCCCAAAAGAGGGGGCACGGTCGAAGACGAAGAGGGCGGGTACCCAGCGTTTGGGATATACGTTTTGAACGGCACGCGAGCATATAACTGCGAACAGCAATGAAATGATTGTTTTTTGTTGGCGTTGCTGTTATTGTTGTTGGTCGGTTGTTGGTTCGTCGTTGTTGTTGTTGTTGTTGTTGTTGTTGTTGGTGGCGTTGCCGTTACTGCTGATGTATGTGGTGTTGGTGTTGCTGTTATTTCTTTGGTGTTGTTGTCGTTGGTGTTGGTGTTGCTGTTGTTGGTGGCGGTTGTGTTATTGTTGTCGGTGGTGGTGTTGTCGGTGCTGGTGTTGTTGGTATTGGTGTTGATGTTGTCGGTGTTGTTGGCGTTGGTTTTGTTGGTGGTGTTGTTGTCGTCGATGTTGTGTTTATGTTCGTGTTAGTGCCAGCGTTCGCGTTCGTGTTTTTGTGTTTGTTTGTGTGTTGGCGTGTTTGTTTGTTTGCTACTTTGTGTGTTGTTAGTTTGCGGTTGATGCTTGGCGTCGCCCCACCCGCGGCCCGCCCCGCGACCCACCCGCGACCCACCCCGCGACCCACACGCGACCCACCCGCGACCCGCCCCGCGACCCACCCGCGACCCACCCGCGACCCGCCCCGCGACCAACCCGCGACCCACCTGCGACCCACCCCGCGAACCATCCCGCGACCCACCCCGCGACCCACCCAGCGACCCACCCGCGACCCGCCCCGCGACCCGCCCCGTGACCCACCTGCGACCCACCCGCCCGCCCACGACCCGCGACCCGCCCGCGAACCACCCACGACCCACCCGCAACCCGGCCCGCGACCCACCCGCTACCCGCCTGCGACCGACCAGCATTGTCTCAACGGAAAAAGCTGCGCCTTCGGCGAGCTCGTTGTAAAATGTGTAGAAAGTACGTAGGCGTTTGCGTTTTTTTTTTCTCTCCGGGGCCTCGTGGACTGCCGACGTCCCCGCCGCCCCCATCAATCTTATCCGCAATTGCGGGGTGTTGGTATAAATAGATATGAACATGTTTTTGGGCTCAGGGTTTCCGAAAGCCGCCGTATGCACACAGAAATCGTTGCTTGAGTCACGGCACGACGGCCTCAGCTCTGCAAGGTCCGAGGGCGCGTGACCTCAAGCTTCGAGCTTCCCGCAGGAGCCAAAGTCCAGAAACGCGGGCGGCCCGTTCAGCCCCATCTCTTCCTCTTCTTCCTCCTCCTCCTGCTCCTCCTCCTCCTCCTCCCTCCTTCGTCCCCCTCTTCCCTCCGCCCTCCTCCCTCCTCCCTCCTCCTTCTCCGTTAGCCCTCTCCGAGAACCCTTTTCCCTCCTCTTCCGTTTCCTCCTCCTACTGTCCATTTCCTCCAGTCTTTTTACATAATTTCTTCCTGTCGCACCCCGCGGCCAGTGTTTCCGGGCATTTCGCCTGAGACTTCTTCACCATTTAAGATCCTGAAATTTCAAAATTGATAGCAGTATCACAGATAGAGGGCGGGTGGTTTTCAACATGTGATTCGCTTTAGCGCCGAGCACACTTCAAACACTTACAAGGGCTTCTCGGATTGAGGGCGGGTGGTTTTCAAAAATGCTGATTTCGCTTCAGCGCCCGCACATTCGTGTTCAACATTTGGAACGCGCACATTCTTCTTAAAATGTTGCAGGAGCTTCACGGATTGAGAGCGGCTCTTTTTCAAAATGTGGCTCTCGCTTTAGCGCCGCGCACATTCGTTTTAAATTTTTGCAGGGGTTTCACGGATTGAGGGCGGGCCGTTTTCAAAATGTGGCTCTCGCCGTAGCGCCGCGCACATTCGCTTCAAACCTTTGCAACCTTTTCACGGATTCCCATGATCAGCGTAGCAGAAATGGTGTTTTCGAAGGAATCAGGATTATGAGGGCGCAGAAGTTACGTTGGTTCTGGCGCGATGCACGATCGTCAAGACGCAACTGTCAGGTTGTTCCGTGGCGCTGGAATCCCGAGAACGATGTTTTGGCATGCGTCTGGGGTTCCAATGGTTGAACTCAAACGAAGCAGTTCCTTCTGTGTAAATGAACCTTTGTAGGGGCCTGTGAAGAAGGAGATTGGAGGCCAACATCTCTGATGACTCTTGGGTTTGCACTGGTCCTCGTCATCCTCCTCCTCCTCCTCCTCCTCCTGCTCCTCGGCGCCGGCGCGCGGCGTCGGGCGCTGCGCGGGCGTTCCGTGCTAGGGCATCCCGACCACGGGTGGCCATTGGGGGGGTTGTCCCCCATGGCCCAGCAGGGCCCTTTTGCACGGCAGAGGCAGGACTGAAGTAGTGGCACACCTTTGGTGAATCTTGTTTTCAAAAGGGCGAAAAAGCCTTGCAAATCCTTTTCAGCAAATGTAGAAAAAAAAACCTGGGTAAATCCTTGGAAGAGAAACTTTCGAAAAGGGCGACAAACCTTGCAAATCCTTAGCACATCCTCGTGGCAAATCCTCGGTAAGTCCGCTCCCCCCGTTGTCCGCACGGGCGGGGCCCTCCCCCCCTCGCCCCCGGGTCCTGCTCTCCAGGGCTTCCCGCGCGAGTGGCGGCGGCCAGCTTGCACGGGCCCCCCAGCCCAGACCCTGCGAGGCGGAGCTCGCGCAGTGGCCCGCGGCGCCGCGGCGCCAACGCGGGGGGCCATCGTTGCGGCAGGGAGGTTCCGGGCGGCCAGCGGCCACGACGATTCCGTGCGGGGCGTTGGCTTGCCTTCCGTCGGCGGCGGGCGAGGAGGGGAACTGCGACGGTCGGGGTTTGCCGGCGTCGTCGTTGTTTCTCGGCGGTCTTCTGCCCTTCGGGCTGCGTTCCAGCGGCTGCGCCTCGCCGAGGGCGTTGCGGGGGCGCCCGGATCGTCCTGGACGGCCGCCGGAAATTCGAGTTATGCCCGGAAAAAAAATTCGGCGGCGAGCGAGGGGGGGGGAGGTGACACGGAGGGGGCCTTTTCAGAGGGCGGCGGAGCTTCTCTCAGAAGTCCCCGCGCCTTTAGAGAAGTTGTCCTGCGTCTTCGGGGAAGGCGTCGAAGGCTTCTCAGGAGGCCTGGGGACTCCCGAGACTTCTGAGAAGGCCCTCTCCTCCTCAGTTCCCCCCTGGGTCCGCCGCCGACTTCTGGGCCGGCCGAAGCGCCGGCGCCCCAACGCCACGCCCTCGCAGTCCACGCCCAGCGTCTCCTCGGCGATGCATCGGCGATGCGCCTTCGATGCGTCGGCGATGTCGGCAATGTATCGGCGGCGTCCGCGTGAAGAAAGTCGGGTTCCGCATCGAGCCGCATCGCCGATGTAGGTATCGCCGATGCGGCGCGATGCTCCGGCCCCATCTTCGACCCCATCCAGGAGGCCTTTGCACGCCGAGCTTATGTTTCGAACAGATCGGCGCTTGCGACGGGCTGACCGTTGAGGAAAGGCGTCGCTCGCGGCGGGTTTCTGTACGTTTGCGCTCGAGCCTCCTCTCCTAATGGACCTTGTGGCGTAGCTGTGGCCGTGCAGCGTTCGTGGACGCCCGCACCTCCGCCCGTCCGTCGTCTCCAGCCGAGCCCCGCAGCCCTGGTAGGGCATCTCGATTCCCGGGTAGAGGTGGCAGAAGTGCAACTTCGTCAGGAGCGAAAGAAGGACGTACACGTACATGAATCCACGCTGTTTTCGAGATTTCGCATTGCGCGAATATTCGTATCACGCGGCCGGTCTCGCGGGTCAAGGGGCCGTGTTCATGTACATAGTTGGGCGCGTACGTCCTTTGTGGGCTCCCTACTTCGGAGGTCTGTACCTTGCTCTGGCTTCCCTTGAAGCAGATCGGGTTCCAGTCACATGCACACATGGTGCAGCGCCGTTCGTTGCGGTGTGACGCCAAGAGCTCGTTGAACTTTGCCACTCGGGTGCACTACGCATGTCATGCGGTTGAGCTGCTCGAGGTACTCTACTGTTGACTCGCGTCGTGGTGGCTCACGATCGGCTACGGCGGCAGTACGTGACTCCATGGGGGCATCCATGTGATTGGAGCGGTACTTGACAGCCCAAGCGGGCAAAATTTGTCAAATTGAGAAGGCCGCCTCATGCAAAGGACACGCGGCCATGCGCTTCGTCAGAGCGAAGATTTGCCCGCACGCCGCCGACGACTCACACGCTCACGTTCACGAGCCGCGTCGTTTCACCGACAACCTCAACCCTCCACCGAAGGAGGGCGGAGGAGCAGGAGGCATTGATGGATGAGCAGCATGAGGAGGAATGAACGACGAGGATGGCGAGGAGCGAGAGCAGGAGCAGGAGAGGCTGGGCAGTAGCAAGGGCATGCACGGGCATTCCAACCTTTGTCTAGTGACTACGTAATACTCGTGCTTGCGTCAAGTAACGCCACCATGCGAATGCAGCATTCGACCTTTCGAGAACCCACCAGAGGGACGACACATGTAACACGCCTCTATCCTCCGCGTGCTCGAGACGTCGCAGTCAGGTCGTGAGCGTTGTCTTCAGCAGGGCTCGGAAAGCTGCAACACGTGTACTCTTTCCCCAGAGTGCAGTGGGCAGTAGCGCGCAGCAGCTAGCGTCTCCAGAGGAGGACAGGCCGTCGCGTGAGGCAGCCGAGATCCCCGTGGCCCACATGGCCGCACCTTGTGTCATCGTGGGCGCGGGGCGTATCAGGAGCTTCATGGTGTGTTCCTCTGGAGCCTCCTTAAGCTTCCCAGGAGATTGCTTCACCTCATTCGGACCATCTTAGAGGGTATTGCCGCCGTCTGGGATCGTCGACTCGCTTTGAAGGATGACTTGGCCGTCTCAGGGGCCCATCGGGGCATCCTTGAGCCCGTCCTGGGCTGCCTTGACGCCGTCTTGGGCGATCTCGGGCTCTCTTGGGGCGCTCTCAGGAGTTAGTACGCCATCTTGGGGGCGTCGTCCATCTGCTTGGGGCGTCTTCAGGGCTTCTTGTGGCCTCCTTGGAACAGCAGCTGACAGGCAGAACAAATTGTAACATGTAATGGTGCTCAAGGTGTCTTGCCTCCACTGGGCCTCC